ATGAATGGCTGCTTCACTATGGAGATCATTGACAAGAAACACAATGCTTTATTCTAAAGATTAGAACGTTAACTGTAACCAAGAAATTAATTCAATAAGTTTCCCGTAAAACCTTACTGGACAATTAAATAGGACATGAGTTATCAATAATATTCCACAAAGGACAGAACTCTCAATGAATTTTAGAAACAACTAGACATGTTCTCACAGACCCGGAGGGTTGAAAAATACAGAGCCAATGACAAATGAGAGCAATGAAGTTGAGATAAAATTAATGAGGACGGGTTTGCTGCAGGCCCTTTTCTGTCCTGAATTTCCTTTCACCAGCGTCATTATAACCTTTCACCAGTGTAATCTTATCAAAAAGTCTTCTCATATCCTATTTCCATGGAGACACAGCAGACTACCAGTGTCCTTCTTAGTCGCTAGTCTGAAACTCCACAGAAACCTTTCATGAATGCTGATGCTGAAATTCTGAAAAGAGAGGACATTGACTTTAAGCTATTAAATAATTTGGTTTAGCTTCACTGAAGCAAAAATGTAAGAGCTGTAAAGTTCCATGAGAGTTTGTTCCCTTCTATCTTGACATTGTAGAGAAATGAGATAGAAAACTCTGTTTAGAAGTGATTGTGCCCAGGGAACATACTAGCTGACCTATGAAAGTTTCTTTCAGCACTTTATGGTTTTTGATAACGGAGATTTGACAAGCATGTGCTGAATTCATTAACAGATTCAGAAAATATGTATAAGCATCTATTTAGAGAAAAAAGTGTGTCAGTGCTGCAGGGCAGGCGGATGCGGGATGCAGGCTCCTCACTGTCAGCGTACCCTTCTGGAAATCATGCGTGTGGTGTCATTGATCAGAGATGTTAAGAACATATTACTTCTGGGTAACATGAATGAATGAAATGTGTTACAAGTTTTAGTATGAAGATCTTTTCTCTGTTGAACTCAGTTTCTGTAGGGCAACATCTCTCTCTTGCCTGGACTTGCTGAGTTGGGGAGTGTAATTTTTCTGGAAGACAGCCTGCCTTGTGGGTCATGAGGGAGGTTTCTGAGGGTTCACATTTTCTATAGCATAAAATATTTTTAGCCCCTGTCTCCCCACTTTTTCCACTGTGCTTGAGGACCTCATTTATTTGCTTCTTTTGCTTTACAGAGTAAAGCATCCCATCTCCTGCAACGCTGAGGAGGAGAAGCAGTTATCTCATGCATGAGGTGGAGAAGGGTTCCCAGGGCCAAATAGACAGCACAAAGACTCCTCTGAGCCCTTTCCAGCCTCTTGCAACCATGTCCTGCATTGCCTTCTGTGATCCTCAGATGATCTGCAGAGCTTGTAGCTTACTTCTTGAAGATATTTGCCTCTCTGTAGACACATACATTTAACTTCATCAACTCTATGGTCTGTTATCACTTTTCCATCTTCTTTCTAAAGCTTGATGAAGAACTTTCACTTACTCTCTCTTCCCATCCCTCATTCCTGTTGTCTTTCCAGATTAACAGCTGACTACTTTTTTTTTCTTTTTCTAACTGTCATGTTTCACTTTTAGTGGAGGGAGATAACTACAATATACCTCATTTAATTAGTCATCTATACATAATCAATATTTAACAGCTTACATGACTAGTAAATAATTCTGAAGTTAAGGAAAGCATTTTGACCTCTCCTTTCTCTTTCCCTACAACAGACAGTTTTGTTTTTCTACTTGCTTTTTAAAAAGTTATTTATGTTTGCTATGGCAATCAATATTCTGTTCTTGGAGAGAGTTAGCTATTACTCTTGTGGAAAGTGGAAATTCCTTGTTGAAGACCGAAATGAATAAAGGTCTTTTCCCACCCCACTGAGCAAAGAGCGCAGCTGTCATGATGTTTCCCGTGAAGCCATGTTGCAGGTATGGTCTCTCCCCTCAGTCTCCACATCTACAAACACTGGGGTCAGGATATGACTTTCTAACTGGGTTCATGCACACAAATGTATGAGTCACATGCTACAGGCTACAGGTGACTCTTGCGTATCAAAAATTGAGGTAGAAAAATAAAAGGCTAGGGATCATTAGAAAAAGTAGGGCTGTTCTAGAATTCCCCTTCTCGCAAACAAGCATATAATAGACTAATGATCCACACAGACATCCAGGGTTCTAGTCCTGGGGTACAAGGTGTACAGGGATTCTGGATACAGATATTATTGGGCAGCAGACCTCTCCATCTCAAGGAGGCTGGGAAAAAAAAAAAACTCAGTTGGGTTTTTTTTTTAGGAATTAGTTAGCATTAGAGGTACAATAGACATAGATCCCAGTCTCATCATATGTGCTCTCAAGAACTAACAAAGATATCAAGGTAAGCTCTGATCTGATGTGCCATGTTAAATCTTGGAGGGTAAGATATTTCAAACAATACAAAGGGAAGACCATGAGACCATTCTGTAATAGTACCATGGTAGGGTCATCTGAAGAAGAAATCCCCAGAGAGATAGTGGTTGAAGAAACTGACTAATTCTCAATAGAAACTGTGTAATATGGTGGGTCAGGTGATGATAAACTTGGTATATGTAGGCTGGCAAGACACGGAAGTTTTCCTGGAAAACAGTATTATAGGGAACAGAAAGTTGACATAGTAGTTCAGAAGTAGGATATTAAATGTGTATCTCCCCATTTTATAAGACTAACTGTATCTGAAAGAGTTTACTAACTACAATTTAAAAAACACAAAAAACAAAAATCCCTCCAGGTCAAATAATGGTGGGTGAATTGATCCAGGAAAGATACCATGTCTGGAATGGCAGCTTGAATTATCTTCCCTATTTGATTAAGTTTTCTGTAATACAAACTTGTCCCCCAAAATGCATCTGACATTTTGCATAGTGAAAGAAAAGATAAATCGAGGTGTAATAAGTATCAAAACACTTGAATTCTTCCAGAATTAGGTGATTAAGGATGTTAGATAGAGGTGCAGGGGACAGTTCCAAAGGCTGTTAGGGTTTACCCATCAAAATATCTCTAACATGGGAATTCATTTGGTAGCCAAATATATCTATCTCAAGTTTATAACGTTTTCTGATCTCTATAATCATTCTGGTCATTTTTCAGATGTTAATAATAATTTATAATTACTATTTAAAAATACAGGTTTTTAATGAAATATTTTTTTCAGGTTATAATCTCCTTGATGGAGAGATAGATAACCTTCTGAGAAAGATTTATAGCGGAAACTGTAGCTACATTTCTTAGGCTAACCTAGCCTTTCTCTCAGTCAATAGATTCTGTTCTAGTAACTGGTTTAGGTGAGGTATCAGGTGGGAAAACATGGATTCCCACTGAGATAACTAGAGCCAAGTTTCTGCTTCAGTCATAGATAAGTTTCTTATTATAGGTATGAAACAATACCTTAGAATGTTACCCATTTATTTTATTTTAAATGATAAGCATCATCACATGGATTAAGTAATAATTTTGTAGTACTGAATTTGAATTAAAAATATCAACATGAACTCAGATATATTGTATATATTTTAAAATTACATATTTTCTAGTCTTTCTGCTGAATAGTACTAGAAACAGAACAGCTGTGAACCTCTTCTACATGCAGATTGATGTCTCTAAATACTATTTTTAACTAGGAGAAAACAGTTCTTTAGAAATTCTTAATATCATGACTAAAGAAGGAAATATGTACAATTAATCTTGAGCTACCACTCAGTCTTATTATGGTTGATGATACAGTTACAATTAATGCACTGCTGTTCTCTTGTTCCACCTGCTTACCAAAATCTCTATAATAGATAACCCCACTATATACGTTCTTTGAGAATAAAATTCTTCTCAATGATGTAAAATATCTCAGTTCTCATTGACATAGAAAAAATTACTCACTTGCACTGTTGTAAAATACACATATGGCTGACTTTGAATATCAAAAACTGTATCATCAACACTATCAACAACATCCTTTAGGAAAATAACTTAAAATTGCTTTTTGCAGAATATTTTTGTCTGTTCATTTTGTTTGAAATCTCTTTATTATTATGTTTATGACAGAATTGTTTAATTTTACTTTAATTTTCATTAATTGCTTTTTAATATTTAATTTTGGTTTACAATCATGTATAATATTTACATAATTTCAAAACCACACCTAAAATAGAAAAACAGCAAGTTAAATCTCTGGAAATAATCTGCAACCTTTAGAGAAAATATTCCATTTCTAGCCATTCTACCCTATTGGCATTATCCTATATATAAGCATAATTATTTTAAATTACTTAATGGTTTATCTTCCCTCTTTTATTTTTTAAGTAAGATATATACATATGGTGAAAACCTCCTTTTTAGAGCAAAATTTTGTAAATATTAACAAAGACATGGTGTTGTATAATCATCACAGCAATCAAAATATGGTAACTCTCCCTGATTCCCCACGTCCCTTTATGTAGTCTCCCTACCCCCATGTAGTCAAACCTACAGCTATTCCTGCCTCTAGCAACCATTGATCTGTTTTATATCTCTATATTTTATCTTTTTCAGAATGTCCTAGAAGTAGAATCATACGTTATGTAGTCTACTGAGGCCGGTTCCTTCAGTTAACAGAATGCGTTTGATATTAGTCATTGTTGTATATATTAGTAGTACATTTTCTACTGTCCTCTGGCATTTCATTACAGAAATGTATCGCCACTCATTTTTTTTAAAACAAATTAACCAGTTGAGGGACATCAAGATTATTTGCAGTTTTATAACTCTCCTATATAGTAAACATTAATTTTTATAAATTGTTTTTGCACCTTGTCAGCTTGCTCAACTTAACAATTAGTTCTAATAACCTTTTTTGGTAGATTTTAAAAGATTTTCTATGCAGATAATCATGCTGTCTGTTCAGGAGGAAATTTTACCTATAGTTCTCTTTTCTTATAACATATATAAGCAAATACACTTATAAATCTACATTTTCAAGTTATGGCATGATTATATTTTCCACAATGCTTTATTAAAAATGTAACAAAACACAAAAATGGTTTCTGTTATGAGAGGCACACATAGGGCAGTTTGATTGCTCTACATGCAGAATCAGCATCAACAGATTTCTAAAGCATAATAATTTTGGTACCTGGGCAGCTAGTGATCATTGGTCCTGACACCTACAAAAAAGAAAAAAAATAAACAAAACACAATTTACATTATATCCTGGAAGTCACTCTTCATGGTCATATATAGAGATTGTTTTTTCCTTTTATAGAAGGTAGTTCCTCCAGTAATTGATTGAATGCATAATATTCCCATGATGGGCACTTAGGTTGTTCCAAGATTTTCATTATATAGAGAGCTATAATGCATAGCTTTGTGCATGTATCTTTTTTTAAAAGATTTTATTTATTCTTCTTTAGAGGGGAAGGGAAGGGAAGGGAAGAAGGAGAGAAATATCAATGTATGGTTGCCTCTCATGAGTCCCCTGTTGGGAACTGGCCTGCAACCCAGGCATGTGCCTTGACTGGGAATTGAACTGTGATTGTGTGGTTGGCAGGCCCGCGCTCAATCCACTGAGCTACACCAGCCAGGGCTGCATTTATCTTTTTATATTTTTAACAATGGAACTTGGAGACATTTTTATAAAAGTAAAATGTATATAAACTACATATGCGATTTTGATAGTTATTGTCATATTATTTTCCAATGGTGTTATAATATTTTGCATTCCCACTAAAATTACATGGAGTTTTGGTTTCAGAGTTTCTCCAAGAGAACACTCTAGTATATCTATAGACTTCTGTAACTTCCAAAAATGAGAAATTGTATTTCAATGTAGCTTTTATTTTTAAAGTATTTTATTAAGTATAATAGACACACAAGTACACAATCTTAAGAACATAACCTATGACTTGGTAAGCCCAAACGACTAACATTAGTTGTACTCTAAAATATTCTAAAAGCTCTAAAAGTCACTTCTCCTGTGTCCCTCTTCTCCAGAAATAACCACTACCTTGATCTGTATGAGCCATCTGGATATTCTGCTTTTACAAAATTCCTGCACAAATCTTTTGCCTTTTATTATAGTGTTGCTCTTTTTCTATTGCTTTGTAAAGCTGTTTACATATTCTAGAAAGTATTTTGCAGACATATGTACTCTAAATATTTTCTTTTCATTGTTTCCCTATTAGCTCTTTTAATGGGATCTTTTGGTGGATAGGACTTTTTAGCTTGTATGATGTCTACTTTATAAATACTTTTTACAAATGTTTTTGTAGACTGTTTTAGAAATATTCACTCATTGAAATGTCACAGAAGTATTTTCACAAGTTTTCTCTTGGAAGTTTCATTACAGAAGTGTCCAATCTGGGAAAAAATGTATATCATATCAATATTAATTCTCTTAATCCATGGAAAAGGTATATTTCTCTATTTCTGATTTTTAAAAATTTTGCAGCAATATTTTATAGGTTTTAGGATAGAGGTTTTAGACATTTTTGTGAGATTATTTATCAATATTTTTTCTGTAATTATAAACAATATTTAAAAAATTCAATTTCTGATACTTTATTGTGAGTGTATCAAAACACAATTGAATCTTACTTTTGATCTTGTATTCAGCAGACTCAATCAATTCATAAGTTTGATTGTTTGCTACACTGGTTGGTCTTTTTGAAGCATGGGGTTTGTAAAGATTCAAATATTATGCTCTGGATTGTGTGGCTCAGTGGATTGAGCTCTGGCATATGAACCAAAAGGTTGTCAGTTTGATTTCTAGTCAGGGCACGTGCCTGGGTTGCAGGCCAGGTCCCCAGTGGGGGGTGTGCATGAGAGGCAACCACACATTGGTGTTTCTTTTTCTCTTTCTTTTTCTCCCTCCCCATCTGTCCAAAATAAATAAATAACATTTTTTAAAGATTCAAATATTATTTTGCTGCCACTACTATATTGCCAAAATAATTTTGCTTTATTGGTGTATAAGGATATATTTTCTAAATGTATTATAAGGCAAATTTGTTTGGAATTCTATGCTGCAGAGAGAAAGAAGGAGCTACTACCCTTTGCAACAACATGGATGGAACTGGAAAGCATTATGCTGAGTGAAATAGGCCAGGTGCTGAAAGACAAATACCATATGATCTCACCTTTAACAGGAAGCTAAACAACAAAACAAACAAGTAAGCAGAAAAAAAAGAACCCAAAAAAACAAAGACACTGAAATAGAGAACAAGGGGATAGTGACCAGAGGGGAGAAGGAAGAGAAGTTAAGGGGAAAAAGGGGGAGGGATTTGGAGGAACAAATAGGAAGGACACAGGGACGAGAACTAAGGGGGGGGGAGGAAATGGGAGGGAGGTGGGGAGCAAGGGGCAGGGGAGGCTGGGATGGGAAAAATAGACAAAAAACTGTACTTGAAAAATAACTAAATAAAATTTAAAATTAAAAAAAAAAAAAAAAAAAAGAAAAAAATCTCCTCCATAATTCCATTATTTATCTATTAGTTAACTTAGTAATTTTTAACATGGTGTCACTCATACTGTGATACTTCATCATTGTTTTTTTTAAGGAGGGAGTAAAAAATGCGATATCTACAATATGTCATTCCTTCAAGAGAAATAAGTGAAAAGAACAGATCATAAATAAGAATCTAAAAATATGTTGGATAATTCATGACCATTGTCTTAATCACACATTACACACTCATATGACATTCACTTCAGCCTAAACAATGATGAACATTTTTACATATGAAAAGGAGCTATAGTAGCAAAATCTCATTTTACAATGATAATTTTAAGTGTGTCATCTGGTTAGACTTACAGAGTGAACAATAATCAGGGCTCAAGCTTTTAGTTTCTGTATAACATCCATAATTCTTCACATATTAACACTTTAAATTTGTCAGAATTTCAGCATTCTTGTCCCTTGTATATGACACTTTTATTTAAAATTAAAATAAGTACCTGACATATTCCTTTAACATTAAAATTTAAACATTGCTAGATTTGGAGAGGACTCTTATTGCATCAACATGCAAATCTACTGCCAAAGATTAAGCATTTTCTCCGCATTCATGAGTTCCTTTCATCCAGGCCTTATAGGCCCTTCTCATGGGGGACTGGACTTGGACTGCTGGGCTGCTTGAGAGGTTGGAGATGCAGGATTGTCCTCCAAGTGTATAGTCCACAGAAACATAGGGAAATCCTGAGAGGTGATCTAAGTACCTTTGGAATTCTTTAATTGTCATTCAACCCTTAATTAAAAAAAAAAGTATTCAAGACTTATCATGGATCAGATAGTAGAGAACAGAGCTGGTAGGTTCTCTATTCTTGTGGTGTTGATCCTCCAATGTCACCTTATCTATCAAAAATCATACCTTTCTACAGTCATAAGGTGCAGAGTAGGAAGTGAAAAGCTCATCAGTGAACTCCCAATGAACGGTATTCATATCCTGGTACCAGACTAGTTATCTTGCTGCGGATGAAAGCAGAGCTGCCTTGTAAACCTGACCAGCTCAGGGGAGATCTGCATGGCAAGATTTACAAACTCAGAGACCTAAATTAGGTCCACAAAGGATGGTCTGAACATACAAACTTCTGAGTAAAAGTAGACCTGTTAGTTTCTTGATAAAAGTTAAATTTTACATTAAGTGAGTCTGTCTATTGTTTTTTGCCACACAAGAGGATGAGACTAAGTACCCTCACTGTTATTTTGTTTTATACTTACAATCTCTATGTGTTGTAAATAAATGTTAATTATTGGCTATCTTGTACCCACCAACGTAAAAGAAGTATGTGTTTCTCTACTGTGCCTTTTAATCCAATTCCAAAGGTTTTCCCACTTTGCCTTCTCTCACCCCTTTAATCTAACACCAATTGATTTTATGTAAATCTCCCTTATATCTCCTTCTGTTATTTTAATATAAAAAATAAGCTGCAAAAGTGCCATTCTCCAGAAAATTGTCTCAATCAATTGAGATTTGCTTCCCACCAACTGGCATCAGTTTGACTCAAATAATATCATAGGAATTATCTACAGGTTTGATGTTTCTTAAGTCGACACTGCAAAGTTGTGTCAGGGACATGGTATATGAGGAAAGGAATTTGAAGCAAATCTCGGTACTGCTTTCTGCAACATGATTAAAATGGGCTTCATTCTCTCTTTAAGAAAACAAAACAAGTTATCAGTGTTTGATGAAATAGGTGCACATACTAGTCAGTCTCCTTAACTGAGATATTCTTTCAGTGTGCGTTACACCCCACAGCCTGATTCTTTGCAAATACACATAACCAAAGGCATGTGGTGACTGATTGTTTTCGAATCTATACAAATTTCCCTCATAATTTAAAATAAATGAGCAGTATAAGTAATTCCCCTTCAATACTAATAATGAAAATAAAATTTCTATCTTTCACAAAGAAACAAAGTTTTTGATGAAAACTAACTAACCAATCAACAACAAAACAAGCAATAAACACCCCCTCCATTCCAAACAAGCCAAACAAATTTAACATTTTTGTTAAAACCAATATTCAATAGAATGTTCAGCCTAGAAACAGGCCAACTTGTTTTTCAATAGGTAATAAGTAAGGTTAGGAATGTTCTCTAAGATTTTCTTCCTCAATTGTCAAGTGGTTCCTTCCGTTATATAATGTGCAACAGGCTAAATATGTAAGACATTTTCATGGTTAATTGGTTAATCATTTCTTGAACTAAAGTCTCTAAATATTATAGCAGTTTTTGAATAAAAAGTATAGTATTGAGTCCTGGCTGGTGTAGCTCAGTGGATTGAGCCCGGGCCTATGAACCAAAGGATCACAGATCGATTCCCAGTCAAGGCACATGCCTGGGTTGCGGGCCAGTTCCCAGCAGGGGACTCACGAGAAGCAACCACACATTGATGTTTCTTCCCCTGTTTCCTCCCCTTCCCCTCTAAAGATAAATATTTTTAAAAACTATAATATTGATTAAATATTTATTAAGTAAATTTAACATTAAAAAAATTGATATGTACTAATCTGCAGTGATATTTTTCTCATTTTCTCTATTCTACATTTTGCACTAACTGAATTTCTTATTTCAAAGATCAGAAATAGAAGCCAGTGAGTAAAGAGATATGTTTATATCTCATACTGAATATGCTTTGATATTGAATATGCTTTAATGCCTATTAATAAGT